CTGCTCCACACGTCACATTAGAAGGGAGGAGAGGCACAACCCTCCCAGGCGGGCAATTTTTCCTTCCCATTCCCCCCCCCTCAGACCAGCCAGGAAAGGGCGGCTTGCCCAGACCTCTGGGACCCTTCAAGACAAGTTCAGACCAGACGCCCCCTTTCAAAGCAGACGCCTCCACATGAGGAAATTCTGACGAGTCCTCGGCCTGTGTTATCCCAAACGTGGCGGCAAAGACATGTTTCACCGTTTTGGTGCATCCATGTTTGTTGTAAGCCCCCCTCCGCCCCCTCCCCCTCCTGCTTTCGGAGAGGATCCTGGGGCCCTGTCTGACGCTCTCCCCTGGTCTTCGTGTGGCCGATCGTTTGGACTCTCGAGACAGACGAGGAGGAGGAGGAGGAGGAGGAGGAATAGGAGGAGGAGGAGGAGGAGGAGGAGGTGGAGGAGGAGGAGGAGGAGGGAGGGGAGGAGTGAAGCAGAGGAAGAGGATGAAGAGGAGAGAGTGAGAGCGAGAGAGAGGAAAGGGAGAGCGCGAGAGAGAGAGAGAGCGCGAGAGAGAGCGAGAGAGACAAAAAACAATGAACGAACAGCTCCATGAACTCGTTTCCCCCAACACTCCGACACCGCAAGCAACATCCACATCGAAGATGAGCCGCCCAAGTCCGCCAACCAGCCTGATGCCAGGAGTGAGGGCGGGAGGCTCAAAGGAAAGGGCGGGGGGGCGGGGGAGAGCTGGCAAGACTCTGCGCAGCCCCCCCCCCATAGGTCCAGCCAGCTAAAGACACGAGTCATGTGTAACAACATGAGATCTGTGAGCCCGATGGGGGCAGGGCACGTGTTGTTTGGATGTTCTGCACATTCCTTCTCTGTATCTTCCCTGCGATGGTACCTCGTGGGAGCGTGATTTGCGGAAGCCGCTGTTGGACACGTTGAGAGTTGGAAGCGGTGTCTTCGATAAGTTCCCGCGCGGGACGGCGAGGCCGTCCCAAGGGCACGTCTGGACATTCGGCATGAAGGGAAGGGTCCATGAGGGACGAATGGGGCAGTGGACGGGCGGGGAGGGAACGCAGGAGGAGATGGGAAGTGGAAGCAGGGGAGAGGAGGGGAAGCAGGATGTGTGGATGAGGAGGGCAGTTGTGGGGGAGGGGAGGCGGTAAGCGTTCATTGCCCCTCCAAAACAGCGCCCTGTACTAGAAAGCGAACCTGGCCAGAGAGCACGGGGGACCGAGAGACCTTGCCGCCGAACTGGGTCCTACACCACGGAGGTCGCGAGGGACACGAGGGTACGACGGAGGAATGGTGTCACCCTTACCCTGCCTGATCTTCTCTTTCTCCTTCTCTCTCTCTCTCACACTTTCGCTGTCGCTCTGCTTCTCTGCTTTTCCCAGCCATCCTATAGTGGTGGGTCCTCGCTTTGAAGGGACACCGCCCCGCGTTCTTCTCCTCGCCCTCCTCCCGCCTCCCGCCTTTGCCGCTGCGGCCTGCATGTCCTCCTCCTCCTCCTCCTCCTCCTCCTCCGCCTCCTCCTCATCATCATCATAATCATAATCATAATCAGCATCATCATCAGCAGCAGCATCATCACCACCACCATCATCAGCACCATTGCCCCAAGCAATTTACGTCTGTCATCTACATGTCCTCATCATCGCCATCGTCATCAGCGACTTCCTCACCCCCCCTCCACATGCATCATCATCAGCCTCAGCATCATAATCAGAATCATAAGCATCAGCAGTATCAACAGTATCAGCATCATCATCTTCATCAATCTCATCGACATCGTCATCGTCATCGTCGTCATCATCATCTAACACAGAATCGTCGTCGTCATCAGCATCCTTATCGTAGAACTTGAGCGCGCGCGAAGCGCACGCGATGGTTCTAGTATATGTGTGTGTTGTGTTTATGTGTGCTTTGTTTGTTTCTTTGTACATATACATTTATGGATATGCCCCGTTGTGTATATACAACTGTGTGGACGCTGGTTTGTCTTACTCGTCCTTCATTGATTGCATGTTCTCTCTCCCTCTCTCTTTCTCGGTATCGCTCTCTATCCTCCTCCTACGTATATCCAAGCCCCTCTCTCTCTGTCTGTTATGCTTCTCTCTCTCTCTATTTCTCTCTCCCCCCCCGCGCTCGTGAGGCTCTTGGGCGTGCATCCGGGTGGAAGGCGACACACCCGGGTTTCTGCAGGACGTCGGCTGCTGTTCCCTCTCCTGTGTCCACCCCTCAACTCGCCGCTCCCCCTCCCCCTCCCTCCGTCCTCCTCCTCCCGCCCCCAGCCCCCCCCCCCCTGTTCTTGTCCCTTCTCCCCCCTCCCCTGCTCACCGACCCCGCCCCCCTTGACACTCACCCTCACATTGTTCACTCCTCGCTCCTGGCCTCTTCGCCAGGGTGCAAAGTCCTGGGAGGTCAACTTCGGCATGGGCGCTGGTAAATCCGTGGTCGAAGACTGGCCAAGTTTCGATTACTCCCGCGCACAAAGACAGAGTGCCGGACCTATCACATTCTACGTAATTGCAAAATTTTGAAGTTCTTGGTCGTTTCTGACTCCGCGTGTAGAGTACTCATGGTGAGCATGTTCCAACGATTATAAGGCCCAGGGGTCAACAAAATGGGGGGGGAGGGCGAGGGGGGAGGGAGGGGCGAGGAGGGAGGTCGGAAGAACGAGAGAGGAGTGAATGGACGAAGGAGGGCGGAGGGAAAGGAGAGTGAGGGAGGAGAAGGAGGAACGAGGGAGGAGAGAGCTTCTTCTCGGCTTTTCTCGGCCTCGTATTTGCAACTGTTTAGAATGCAGCTATAAGACGAGTGCGCGTGGCGCTTAGGCGACAGATGATAAGGATACGGCTGGCACTTATGACAAGAAGATTACAGCTACGATCCGAACGAAGCCTGGTGAATAAGAAAGTTCGCCCCCCCGCCCTCAACCCGCCGACCAAAAGTGGCTTGCCCAGAGATAATCAACATGTGATGGGTGAAGGAGGCTTAGGGGGGATACATGACTATCCCGTGCATGCGGTTAAAGTCCCATGTGTATGTTTTCAAATAGCCTCTAATCGTTTTGGAGAAGACCTCCCAGGGAATGCCTCCTAACTTCCTCTCGCCTTCCCACTCCCTCTCCTGCCGTCGTCGGGCGGTGCTAGGACGAGGATGCGTCCGTCACAGACTCTTCCAGCACGCTCTGAGAGCGTTCCGGAACACTCTGAGAAGGCCGCGGCGCCCGAGACATCCTCCAGAGCCGCCAGCTGATAGAGAATCTCGATTGATTCTGGCTTCGGCGACTTCGGCCTCTTGCCCCAGGACTGCCGTGGGACGGGCCGCCTCGCTGGCGCCGTCGTCCCCTGCCCCCTCCAGCAGCCACCTTTCCCCACGACCCCAAGACGTTTTGCATTTAGCCTATTTAGCTCGCTGCCCCACTCCCTCCCCTGGTGGAGGAGGAGGAGGAGGAGGAGGAGGAGGAGGAGGAGGAGGGGGAGGAGGAGGAGGGGGAGGAGGAGGAGGTGGTGGCGGCGGCTGGCCTCCCCCATCCTCCCTTCTTCCCCTCCCTACCTGTGGTACTTAAGGTGGTGGAGAATTTGCCCATCATCCTTCCTCTCCCGAAAATTGCACTCCGTTCCTGCACTCCGACGTGGGCTCGACGCGGGTTCAACGTGAGTTCGGTGCGGATCCGATACGGATTCGACACGGGTTCGGCACGCATTCGACACGGACCCGACGCGCTCGACGCAGTCCCCATACGGATCCGATGTGGAGCCGACGCGGATCGCGGCGCGGCGGGACGGACGAGGCCCCCCGACGATGCAAGACGAAGCTCAAACTCGCCCCCCCCTCTCCTCGGGGGCACAATCAAGGGGGATGGGCTCCGGGGGGGGGCGCTTCGTTCCCCCATCGCCCATTCATCGCCGGCGGGGGCCCGATAGCCCACCCCGCCAAGAAACGTGCGCCTTCCCCCTATCGGGGACCCCATCACCGATGCATCGGCGGTGCATCGCCGATGCCAGGTCGATATTTCCTCCCCTGAGCTGGTCCCCCCCCCAAGCGGTGCCCCTCAAGGTGGCACATGGCAGAACTAGCGGTTCTCATTCTCGTCCCCCCTCCGCTCCTTGTCGTCCTTACACTTTTCTCGATACGAGTACTTCTCCCCTCTCTCCACTGATGCTGTCTTTCTTTTCGCCCGCCTGCCCCGCGTACTCCTGTTCACACAAGCTTGTCCTGGGCTGGCTGTCGAAATAATTCTGCCCGCCCCGAACATTCTAGGCCTGTCCCATGGCGATCTCGCCACAGCGCGGGCCACATTTGTGGATCGGGTAGCAGCTTCCTGGCTATTGCCGTCCCCCCTCCTTTCCCCTCGCCTTGCCCTGGTCCTCAGTCTCTGAACCAAGCCCGCGAAGACTTGTAGCCTCCAAGGAGTTGTCTTCTTCTAGGGCCCCCAGATGGGGTCTTAGTAGATGAGGGATCGCGCCGCACCGCCGATGCGTCGCCAATGCGGCTCGATGAGGAGACCGATTTTCTCTGCGTTGGCGTCGCCAATGCGTCGCCGACGTCGCGATGCATCGCCGATGTGTCGTCGATGCGGCGCGATCCTTCGACCCCATCTGTTCCGACCCCATCTAGGAGGCCTCTACTCCTAGAGCACCTTCTCCCGTCCCTTCGCCCCTTGCTCGGGCGGTGCCAGGGGTGGCCCTGGCCCGAGGCGGCCCCCGCGTTTCCAGAGGGAGGCCCAGAGGACCTCCTCCTCCTCCTCCTCCTCCTCCTCCTCCTCCTCCTCCTCCTCCTCCTCCTGCTCCTCCTCCTGCTCCTGCTCATGCTGCTGCTACTGCTCCTGCTCCTGCGCCTGCTCCTCCTCCTCCTCCTCCTCCGCACCCCGTCAAGGGACCCAGGGGGCCACGGGAAACTCGGAGATGGAGCGATGAGCCGGAGGCACTTCGGGCCAGGATCACCTCTGGCGACCTCCGCCTCTCAGCCCTCGCCCGCGTCCGCTCGCCCTCCTCTCCGGCGGCCAGGACATGGGCCTGACGCCTCTCCAGCGCGAGGCGGCCAGAAGCGCTCGCTACGGAGCAGGCCTCCAGACGCAGTTCATCACCCAGGCCAGCAGCCCGCCTTGCTGGGGCAGGCAAGGCCACCATGAAGAAGGCGAGTCAGAAACACAGTACCCAGACTTGTCGCCACGAGCAGGGATCGGGCTTCTGGGAACGAGGTGGTGGCACAGCTGGCACGAGGGCTCAGAACGACGCCAGCTTTGAAGGGCTACCATCCAGAACTTCGTGTTTGAGTTTGCCACCTGGTAACGGCCCTCGTTCGGGGTACCTCCATTCGCCCTCGGTCTCTCGGCGAAGGGCTCACGCTCTTGATCCACGCTCTCGTAGCCACAGCTGGATTCCTACTCGAGCCTCTTTTCTCCGTCTGGCGATATCGGGCGTTGCGGAGGGGGGAGGGAGGAGGGATGGGGCAGGTAACGTCACGACGTGCGACAACACCTTCTTAGACTGTGCCAGAGCGTCGTGACGTTACCAGGTGGTGGGATGGGAGGGGACTGCCCCGATAAGCAACGGACGTTATCCCGAATTGTTTTAGCCTCTGAATTTCTCATCACAACGGACCAGGGGTGGATTGTTCAACACGTTGCCAGGAAGAGAAGGCATCCTCATGGAAAAGGGGTTATTCGTGTTTGTTGTTTCTCCGTTTTCGGCCCGGAGGCCTTCCCCGAGCCCTGGGGCCATCAGAGAGTAGTTGCAGATGACAAGCCCATCCTGGGGAAGGCCCAAGGGTCCAAGACCCGCTTCCTTCGGGACTTATTTTCTTTTTGGCAAGGGGCAGGGCGGCTGCAGGGGGTGTGGGCAGGAGAGAAGGCCGGCGCGGCGGTGGCGGCGGCACGCTGCGCGATGATCCTGGAAAGTGTGGGATCTGGTAGGAAGAGCGGGTCGTTGCCCGCCCGATCGGTGGCTTTGGATCCGGACTACAAGAAGTTGGCCCGACCAGGCGTGCCTGCCAGAGCGTGCCACGGGGAACGGCGAGTTCAGCCGAAGCACCGGGGGAGGGAGGGAGGGAGGGAGGGATGAACGAGGAGGAGGAGAAGGGAGGTCCAGACTAAACTCAAGATTAACCAACGATGCCACAATACACCCTTCTGTCCCAAGGCCCCTCCTCACAAGACCCTGCTTCCTTGCCACCAGAAGCGCCCCCTTGAAAGACCAGCATCCTGTGGGCCTGCCATCGGCGCGCTTACGATCCGCACCGCCGCACGGCTTCGGAGGAGGACCCGCCATGCAGGGTTTGGCACACGGTGCATTGGTGAGCGGTGCCCCGAGCGCAGCCCTAGAGCAGCAGCCAGACATGCCGAGAGTGCACCTCGTGCCTTGTGCAGCACGGTGGCGCTGTTCGGCCCCACCTCGCCCAACCTTTGCAAGGGCCACAGTCAGGGGAGAGGGCGGCGGTGGCCGACGCGCCCCTGAGCTGGGCGGCTCGAAGCGCCGCGGCTCAGGGCGCCGGGAAGGCAGGAGGACGGACGGACGGGCAGCCAGGCGGCGCGCGGTGCTTGGCAAGACAAGTGTGGAGGGGGGAGGGTGAATTCTCCCCGTCCCCCTGTTCCCCTCCCGCCTCTCCCCAGGCTCCCCCCCCCGCCCCCCACGACCCCCGACGTCGTGATTTTGTTTGCAGCGTCGACCCCGAGAAGTCCCATCCCCTTCCCCAGGACCTGCTGCTCATCCTGAGCAAGTTTACCTTGAGTAGTTTTTTGTTACGGTCCCGGGGCCTGGTGAGAACCCCCAGAGGCCGAAATTGGTCCAAATCCGTCCGTCGGGTTTTCCATTGCCTTGCTTGACTGTGCGGTTTCTCTCTCTCTCTCTCTCTCTATATATATATATATATATTCTTAAATTCTAACGCCCGGTGTGGGACTTGGGCCCCCGAAGTCGGAGGCCGTTCGTGGCACCCTAGCATGGCTCCCCTCTCCTGCAACTGCGTAAATCGACTACACGTGAGAGTGACCTTTCGCCGGAGTGACCTTAGGTGCGGGTCCCCCCGGGCCCCCCCGGTGGCTGAATGCGATGCGATAGCAGTGGCTTGTGCGCCTGGTGGTGCCCCCAAAGGGCCCCCCCTGCTTGGCCGCGCACCCAAAGGTCATTCATGCGCGTAGCCGAGCAAAGCTGCTCAGGGTCTTCCTCGAGGGTGCCACCATCACGATGCGAGGGGTTCTTCAGGAGCCTTGCTGGGAGGGGATGGGCTCCGGGGGGGACGCATCGACTCCCAATCGCGCCTTGATGGCCGACGAGGGCGTGACGGCCCATCCCACCCGGTAACGTGCGGGAGCGCCCTCGGGGGGGGCCTGCCCCCGCTCCATCGGCGACGCATCCCCGCTCCCGGGCCGACGTCTCCCCCCGTGACCCTGGAGGGCTCACAAAATAGCGCCAGGACCTCGACATAAAAATTCCTGTCGAGGCATTTAGGCAGCCCGGATAGGTCCCTATAGGTCTGCAGGGCTATTGTTGAGCACTCTGGAAGGTCAGAGCCGGTTCCCTTCTGACGACTGGGCCTCCGGCCCTCCCGTGGCGGGCAATATTTCTGTCTATACCCAGTGCAGTATGGGGTTTCGGGCTCCCTTCCCCAGAAACCCGAGGCGCACTGGATGTGGATAAATTTGCCCCCTAGAGGTTCGGTTTTTATCCATATCCAGTGCGCCTCGGCCTTGTGGCGCCACTTCCAGAAAAGTCCAAAAGGCACTGGATATGGACATGCATCTTGTCCGCACCCGTGGCCCCGACCTCGGCAGGGGCCCGCCGCCGCTCCACCAGATCGGCGACGCATCGCCGCTCCCGGGCCGACGTTTGCCCCCCCCCCCCCCCCCCCCCTGCGTGAGCGGGATCCCCCCGCCTCTTTACCTGAGCGGGATCCCCCCCCCCTGCCTGGGCCGACGTCTGCCCCCCCCCCCCCCCCCCCCCCCCCCCCTGCCTGAGCGGGATCCTCCCTCCTCCTTACCCGAGCGGGATACCCCCCCCTCCTTCCCTTTGCCCTCCCGGGCCGACGTCTGCCCCCCCTCCTTGCCTGGGCCGGATCCCCCCCCCCTGGACGTCTGGGCCTTCGGCCTTCCCGCCGCCGTGGCGCGAGCCCCCGGCACGGCCCGGCGCGCCCCAGAGTCTGGGGCGCCCTCCCTGGGAGGCTCCGTTCGGGCCGCCGCTGGCGTGTGATGCGCAGGCGCCGGCCTCCCTGATCCGGCATGTACTCCCGCTGAGCCCTGCCCATGCGGGCTGAGTCTTGGGCTTACTCCTTACCAATCTGGCCCGTTATGAGGTTGGTGGACGGCCCAGCTTCCGTGGGGTGTTTGCAGCAGAAGATCGTATCGAATCTCTTCGCCAGGCAAGCCCGAGTCCCCCAGAGCCGGTTCTTATGCGAAGAAGACACCATGGCAAAACCATACATTTTCGGAGCTCCACGTGGATGTCTTGGATCGGCGCTGAACCCCTCTGGCGGCCCCTTCGGCGCCGCCCTTGGGGCGCTCCGCGCGCCAGGGAGGGGGGTCAGCGCCGATCCAAGAAATCCGCGCGGAGCTCCGAAAGTGTATGATTATGAAATTCCGTGCTCTTCTACGAACGTCTCCCCGACTCAACATCGTTCTTGCGAGGGCCTCACAGGCGCGGCGCTGCCTCTTGGCCACAGCAAGGATCAAGGGCAACCAAAGGGGGGGATAGGCATAAGGGGGAATGCATCGACCCCCAATCACCCAATGATCGCCCATAGGGGTCAGATAGCCCCACCCCGCCCAGGAAAGTGCGGATTTGCTATCGGGGGCCTATCGCCGATCTGTCGGCGGTGCATCGCCGATTCCAGGTCGATGTTTCCCCCCCTATGCCAGTTCCCCCCTATCGTTTCCCCGCACATGGGCGTCACGCGCGGGAGGATCAGCAAAAATTGGTTGCCCGCTGGCGCACGGCCGGAAGACTCACCGCGATGCTAAGATGTCCTAACCAGACTGTAGGTCTCCCAAGCGGGGTCCGAGCGGATGGGGTCGGCGTATCTCGCCGCATCGCCGATGCATCGGCAATGCGGCTCGATGCGGAGCCGATTTTCTTTCGGCCAACGGCGCCGATGCATCTCTGAAGTCGCCGATGCACCGCCGATGTATCGCCGATGCATCGGCTGTGCGGCGCGACCCTCCGACCCAATCTGCTCAGACCCCACGTGGGAGGCCTCCAGTGACTCCAGTGACAGTGGGAGGGGGTACGTGAAGGCCCGGGGTCATGATGTCTCCCCTGATCTCATGCCCCCCGACAGAACATGAGGTTGCTGTGCACAATTTGTTTTCGTGCTGGGCTCCCTCAGGAGAGCTCTGGGCGTTTCCGCTCCTGCACGCCTGCCCCTTCTGAGCCCGGCTGGCCACGGATGACAACAGCGATGACGACGATCACGATGATGACGACGGTAATGTCTTGTTGCAGCACGTCCCCTGGCCCCACACTCGTCCGCGCGAGTGCCTCGGGCCATGCACTCCGTGGACCCAGGTGCGATAATTACAAGCTGTTGCCGTCGTGCTCTTGATGCTGCCGCACTCGAGCAGAGCGCCCGCCCTCACCGCACGGCGCGATCGCACAGCTTTTGGATCGGGCTCCTTGCGGCGCTCCTGTGGACCGCCCCCCGGAAGCGCGTGCCCGGCGCGCTCGCGCCGCGCCCCTGACGCGGCCAGGATGGCGACCGTTTCACCGTGGTCGATCAGCTGAAGGCCGCCCGCCGCCCCTGGTCGGGGAGGTCGGGGGCCGCAGTGGAGATTCGCGTGGCCGAGGGCAGCCTGCGGTCATGCCAGGGCCCTGCCCCCCCCCCAAAGGTTTTTGGCCGGCAGGCCCTGCTGCGCGTCCCCCGGTTCGTCTTGTCCTCCTCCTCCTTCTCCTCGTCCCCCCCTTTTTCCTCTTCCTCCGCGATGGCGACGGCGGCGGAATAATTGGTTGCCGGGTATCGCTAGGGTCGGCAACCCTCAATTCGGCCCCAAAGAACATTGCCCTATCACATATCCAACCTGGCAGTAAGTCACAAGAGGAGTTGGTGAATCATAAACTTATTGGTGGCAACGATTCATGGTGTGCAATTTGGTGTAGGAGCTATATAAGAAGCGAACGCGTTGCGCGACTCACAGGACAACAACAGAAGGACGAGGACTGAGTCCCCAGGCTCGAAGAGGAAATGAGGGTGGGAACGACGGGGGGGAGAACAGCCGTGAAACGGGGGAAGGAGGAAAAGGACCACAGCGAAAGAGGCAGGATGATGAAAGAAGGTGGCAATCATTTTCCAATGGCACGCTGGACAAGCAGCGCGGCCAGCGCCATGTTTGTCTGGCGCTCCAGAGGATCAGCCGGCCATAGTGCCAGAAGCGAGCGAGGCCGAGGTTGCCCGCCAGGTTCCGGGCTTCATTACGGCCCCCTGCAGCGCGGGAGCTAAAAGCCCGCAGGCGCGCCGCCAGGTCTGCGGGCGGCCCGCGAGGAAGCACATCAAAGCTGATATGACTTTGCGCGGGACATGATTCTGCTGGACCCGCAGCAGCCCGAGGAAGTAGCGGCATGCTCGTAGCTCGCACCCCCAAGGATGGCGAGGTGTAAGCTGAATCTGCGTAGGGCGTCACTCCATTGCCCCCAGAGGCTTTCCGAAGTGGCGAAAGACTCGCAGATCCTAGCCCCCCAGGGATTGCGAGGTCGATTCTCAGTTTGCGTAGGACGTCACTCTGTGTGACCCAAAACTGGCGACAGTTTTGCACATCGCACCCCCTAGGGATGGCGAGGTTTAGGTTGGGTTTGCGTACGACGTGACTGCGGTGGCTCCCTCAGAAGCCCTTGAAAGCGGCGACACTCCTCCAAATCACCAACCCCCAGTGGATGGTGATGTATAAGCTGTGTCTGCCACTCCGCAGGACCCCTCAGAGGCCCTCGCAACTGGTTCCAGTTTCGCAGGTCGCAGCCCCCCCAAAAAGGGCGGAGTCCAGTTTGAGTTTGAGTATGACGTCACTCAGCTGGATACCCCAACAGCCATCGAAAGTGGCGACATGTTCGCAGATCGCAGCCCCCACGGGTGGTGAGGTCGTGTATGATGTCAATCCGGTGGGCCCCCCAGCACTTTCGAAAGTGGAGATTATTTCGCCGATCGCAGCCCCCCAGGGATGGTACGGTCGATATTGGATTCGCGTATGACGTCAATCCGGTGGACCCTCCAGCAGCCCTCGAAAGTGGCGCCAGGCTCGAAGATCGCAGCCCGCCGGCGATGGCGAGGTTCAAATCAGGCAGCGTATGCTGTCACACCGCTGGGCCCACCAGCAGCTCCCGAAATTGCACCATTTTCGCAGAACGCAGCCCCCCAGGGATGGCCAGGTCGAGTTCAGGTTTGCATATGACGTCACTCCGCTGGCCCCCCAGCAGCCATCGCGAGTGGCTCCACTTTCGCAGATCGCAGCCCCCCAAGGATGGCGAGGAGGCAAGATTGCAGGCAAGTAGGACGCAGCCAAAAAAATACAGGTATGGGTGCAGGGAAGCAGGCTGGTCATAGGGCGGGAGAAGGAAGGCTGGACAAAGGAGATCGCGACCGCATTGCCCTATTCAAAACCAGAACCCAACGCAGGAACGTTGGGGAAGATGTGCCCTCTGTTGTGGGGGTGGTGCTAAAGACCTATCAGAGTTCAGCGCTAACGGGGCTCAGCCAGAACGTCGTATTTTGCATGATATTGCAAAACCCGGTCTTGGTTGAGCTGGGTCGGGGAGCCGCTCGCGGCCCGAGGGTTTGGGACGCCCCGCAAAAAATAGCAAAGCCGTTTTTCCCCAAAATTGATTGAGCGGGGTTTGCGCTGAGACGCGTTAGCCCACGCCCGAAGCGTGGCGCGGCGCGGACACCGTTTTTCCCCCCCGCCCTCCGATGATATTTGGCTTTGATATTGTTTCACACGGGGCCTTTTCGCCCAATTCATGCGGCTCGAAGAACGCTGCTGAAACATGGGGTCTGGGGCTCTGGTCGTGTTTTTTTTTTTTTTCCGATGTTGCGATCTTCTCACAGTCCTTCCGCCCCTCTCCCATGCCTCCGACGCCCCTCCTCCCCCCAGTCTCACCGTGACGGAACAGGTATCCTGAGGGAGCCGGGTCCTGAGGTTTTTGCTTTGTGTGCTGGGGGCCATGGGCCCTCCACAGGGGCCCAAGACGCGCAGAGAAGACGTCCCAGGATGAAGAACTGTCCCCGGGGACGGTCCTGGCGTCCAGGGCCTGCTTCCCTCAGGACCCGCTTGCGTCATGCCAGCATCTTTCTTCTTGAGCCTTCCCTCGACGAGGGGATAAACATACACATGAATGTTCGGATATCCACGCCGAGCTCCAGAAATATGTGTGGTATGCGTATCTCTCTTGCTCGAAACCTGCATCCTCAGTTTGGCATCGCCCAGCCGTATTTTTGCTGTGTACGCGTCGGCCCCGCAGGGGTTGCGCGCGCGCAAGGAAATCTGATCGGATAGGCTCTTTCGCGGGCGCTTTCTGGCCATGCCGCCTAAGCTGTTTGTACTACACGTTCGGCTCGGCTGGGGGGCCACACGACAGCCCGCTCGGCTCCCTCTGGACTGCCTACATGTCGGTTGCCATGCTGCTCCTGATCCGTGAGCCTCGCGCGTGGAGGCCCCCATGTGGAAGGCCCGGCCCTACAGGGGACGTCTGGCAGGCCGTCCTCGCCTTCTGCTGCGACTCGCACAGCAACATTCGCCCAGCAGTCCGCGACCAGTTCGGAGCGGTTCATGGCATCGACGCCACGGGCTTCCGTGCCCTCCATTGGCATTTGAAGGCGTTGCTCAGGGTGGTTGGCAAGCTGACGGTTAGGGCGCGCCGCCACGCCCAGGAGAAACGACATGCTTGCCCAAGTGCCTGGGAAGGACCTGGACAAGAGCGGCTTTCCGCTCAAGGCCACCCTTGTCGTGCCTGAGCACTTGGTGGTTACAGCTGACTTGCCCATACTAAAGGTGAGCGCTGCGCAGTCTGCACGTCCTCTGTCGGCGTGCAAGGGTCAGAGGTCAGCCTGCTGGAACAAGCCAGCGGCAGTCTCGGCCCGCAACTACTGTATTTGGGGAGTGGTGTGACCAGGTCCGGGCGCGACTTTTGCGCCACCTTCTCACCAGGGACTGCTACCTGGCGTTGTGCTGGACCCGCCCACGCTGCACGACGACGTCATTAAGTTCGGTACTACCAAAGCCAAGACCGTAACCTGGTGCGACGAGCGTGGCAGAACAAAATCGACCCTGACGTAAGCGCATGGTTGCAGGAGGTCCAGCAGCTCCTGGTGGCCAACCGTCGGGCACCCTACAAGCGATGCCTGATTTGCCGCTGGCATTGCGCGGGGTGCTGGAGAGATAATGAGTACGACGTGGAAGGGAAGCCGATACAGGACGACGCCAAGCCCCTTGCCTTCCTACGCATCCTGGACGGCAACTGGCCGCGAACTTGGACACCACGCGCGGCGACGTCTACCTTCCGGGTGCGCAGTGCACACACCAACCGAGAGCACCCGCATTCAGGAGCTCTTGTTTCCTCGGGGCGTAGCAGCCCAAACGCAGTCGGCACGACCATCCCCAGCCGGCGCACGGTCGAGGGTCGCCTAGGCGCACACGTGACCCGCCAGGGATACGTAGGAAAGTGCGACGGGTGCACCGCTGCAGAGCCAGACCCTGGCCGAGAGCCCCCCGCTGCAGCGGGGGGCTCTCAGATCGGACGGGGGCGGCGAAGCGCTGGCGTGCGTCCTCGCTTGCTACTCCGAGTGGACGCGCGCTCTTCAGTCCAAGTCCTGGAACGCCTGGTGGTTTTGAACAGACTGCCCGGCGAGGCCTTAGTTCACGTACCCTGGGAAGACACCGGTGCGCAGCAAGGCCCAGATCGACACCGGACGGCTCACCTGCCAACCCTTGCCACGCCAAAGCAGCCAGGGCAACCGGCAGCATTCAGGACTTGGCCGACGAGTTCGACAGACGCCAGGCAGTTCTAATGGCGGGGAGCCCGCTGGGGACGATCGCTAGACCTGGCGACTACGAAGAGACGAGAGGGCTGCGCGCTGTTGCAAGCGATGCGCAGCGCGCAGTGCCCCTTCCCAAACTGGCGCACAGGGCCATGGCCGGCCTGGATACGGCATGGAAGCAGTGGCACCAGGCGACCCCCCCGCGGCGCGCAGGTGCCCCGCGGTCGCCCCGGCACAGGGCCGCCTCGACCCAGGCCGACCCTGGCGCCGACCGCCCTGGCCGGGCCCGGCGAGGGCGGCATGACGAGCAGCACGCCCGCGGCGGCCACCCCCGGCACAGCTGGCCGCGCGTCTGTGAACGCCGCCCCCCTTCGACCGAGAACACCACGCGATGGAAACTTGCGCTTGCGGGCGAATGCCCGCCGCCCCCGCTGCCAAAGCTCCCCGCCAGGGACCTGCGGAGACTAGAGGCAGGCACGCTGGCCCACTTGGTCGGCACTGTGAGATGCAACTGCAGCATGGCCATCATCTCCATTGGGTCAGCTTCTGCAGCAGACACCTGGAAGGCATGGCGGCAGGGGCGTTGCCAGAGGCGTTGCAGCGACGATTTCTGCAGTCGCTTTGGGGCGACGGGGAGGTCCTGGAAGCGCGCCGCCAGCATCGCGGCATGCGGAGCTGGCCCGACACGCGCCAGCAGCTCACGTTGGCCCCCCTGGCGATTTGGGCCACAGGGCAAGCAGCCCCATCGCCACTTCCCGACGAGCC